TTTTGGGTCTGAGATTCCTATATAGCATAGAAATATACAAGTCAAAATCTATAGAAGACATCGCTGTCGGAAATGCAAAAAATCACCAAAAACCTATCAAATGTGCAAGACAGATAAATAAATACATGGTTGAAAAGCAGCATGAAGTTTTGAATAGTGGGAATAAAAATAGAGTGACAATAGCTGTGAATACAAATACCTAACAATACGTGCCAGTGTTAGAAGAAATTAGTGACTAGTAACACAGGAAAAAACACAAAAAAGCTATATACATTGGAACTATTTACCAAAACAATATCCAAACACTGCCAATATTGGCAGGCAACATGGAGGTGTAAAATCATTTATTAAAACAGTAAAAGCAATCTCAATTACACACTCACACAAAGAAATACCATGAGCAAAAGTGAAACATTGATGTTACAGTAGAAAATTCAAATTCTGCTGGTGTTCTAGAAGGTACATAACCACTTATTGGCAGCAGAAGAGGAAAAAATAGATATTGCCAAAATAATATCCACAGAGTAAGGTTGCAGACCAAAACACCAGTGGCGGCGCGTGGTCATTTTGACAACCGGGGCAAGCTACTGCGGGACCAAGTCACCCCCCATCTACGGGGACAGGATGAGCGCTGTAAGTTCTCCCATCATTTTATGAGTATAAAAACCATTCCATCGGTAACAACCAATCGGCAAAAGCGACAATTTTTAACAATAAGAAAGTGTCTTTAAAACCGGTCCAAGTCAAGGGATTAATAAATATAGACATAGTTTATTATGAAACCTCTTTCAAAAGGAAAGGCAATATTTACCCAGATAAATACAATGACATATTAACAGAAACTTCGGGAAAGCAGACAAAACCTAAAATAAGGTTTAAAACGTTACTATGAAGAAAGGAAAGCTAATGCAAAGATAAGGACATGCGTCGCTCACTCATAGATATATATGCTGCTAGACTTCTACTGCTTGAACCTATATGCAACACGCCGCGGTTTCTTGGAAGCAAAATGCTCAATAACGCGCTGATTAAAGTCATGCATCCCAGAAATACCGTCTCTGTGAATGAATAAAACAGCCAAGGAATTTATTCTATCTTGCTTCATTGTGTTTCTGAGATACGTTTTAATACGCTTCAGCGTGCTGAATGTTCGCTCTGCGTCGGCGGAAGAAATAGGCGTCGTCAAAATGATGTCCAGAAATTTTGCAGACGCCGCAAAGGTGGTTACTAGAGTGTTATCTATGAGGAACCCATAGAGCGCGCAAGTTGATGTGATGTTCAAAAAAGTTTGATTGGTGTATATACATCGCAATTCATTTTCCAATTTACCCACGTTTATCATGGGGTAAAATTTGGAGACAGTAGCCAACAAATGGATGGGAAATTGACGTGCAAATTTTGAAAAATTTTTGGGGTTCATCAAAGAGAACGCGGCAAGGTGTTCAGTGCGCAGACGATCGCCTATTTGATTCACCAGAATGTCACAGCATTCCTTTGCAGACAAAATCAAACGCTGCGTTGTTTGCCCGCGGCGTAAAGAAGCACTCCATGTGTCGTCGTATTTTATTGTTTCCCGGATACGAGATACAGCATCGCAGAAGTCTGAAATACACGACTGCACAGACGCTCCATCCATTAGCCTTGACTGCAATGCGCCGTATAATACATCCACGTGATAGAATATTGTGGAGAAAAAAGCGAGAAAAAATGAAATCTACCATCTTCTAGCAGACGCTTTAGACCTGCCGCCTCCCTCACAGAGCGTTCGTCCCAAACCGGAGAGCTCTGAATGCCATTGAAACACTCAATAAGCTCAGACCTAATTTCGGACACGCCCTGCACCACGCGTGATTGGAAGTTCCAACGTGTTGGTGCACAAGCTGGGAGACGGCGGCTACATATCTGGCGAAGGAGGTCAGAGCGCTTCGGCGAAACGGAAAAATGAATAAAAACCCCGAAACATTTGCAAAAAATATACGGACGAGAGGGGTATCAAGACACATATTTTTAATAACGAGGTTAAATTGGTGTGCATAACAATGTAAAAAATGCGCATGAGGAAATCTTCTTTTATATAAACTTGAACACCATGTTTCGACCCACTCATGACTGCAGCGCCGTCATAAGTTTGAGCTGTCAATTTTGACTTCGCGTTGTAAGGCTGTAACACTTCTTTCAGTACAGCCGATATCCCGCAAGCCGTGCGATCAACGATTGGTTCAAAGCTGTGGAATCTCTCGGTAGGTTTACCATCTTTCACAAATCGAAAAATCACAGCCAGTTGGGAAACGCACGTGATGTCAGTTGTCTCGTCATACTGAATCGAAAGGAACTGGCAATTCTCAATTTCCAGAGCCAAATGTTGTAAATAAATTTTATACATTGAGTCGAGCAAATCATTTTGGATATAGGATAGGATTTACATATTTATCCCGGGGAAGAGGAAAGCCGATAAGACGGCTTATCCATATGGCGAACCACGGCCTCTCGTCCGGTTACCATTCCAAGTCGGGTATGGGATTAGTTATATTGTTTGTTTTCGGAAGCATGGACTTGGTGGTGGAGGAAACCGTAACCGACCAGCGGTTACGTGAACCACCCAACGACGGCGAGGAGTCCAGCAATGGAACCTTCCTTAGATGTCCCTTTCGAAACAGTTGCGGCATCAAGATGATCTCTCAATACTGTATCTAGGGATGCGGTGTATTCCACCATATCCAAAAATACCCCTCTATTAGAAGAGCCAGCCCGTTCATCGTGCCCACGGAGGGACAGCTCGTGACAACCAATGAACTTCAAAACATCTATCAATTGACCGAGAACATGGCGGTTTTTCTCGACGTTTTGGTTGTGCCGACGAATAGAAACCGCGCGTCCTTCATCCAACTGTGCTGCAATATTAACATTTCCGAATGTTCGGTATTTTACTGCATTGTCCAGATGCTCCATAGAAGATTGATGATCCCTGGCACGCTCGGAAAGATGTTTAAGATCTCTAAAACCAAATTTACACCATTAACGTGAGTCACGGGCGGTAGCAAAAGGTAGGCAATAAAAACAAAAAGTGCATTTTTGTCCTCGCTGTAACACAACCATTCGTGTTTTTTATACCAAGTTTCTGCGCAGAATGTACGCCGACGCTTTCCTCCGTCATGGGATTATTCCAGTGAACAATTTTTTGGTTGATAAGGCCCAAGACGTTGTACCTCTAATTTTTGTTCCAGCGGCAGCTGCGAAAACGGAGTGCGAAGTAGTGCATCAACCTTATTCATTATGAGGTCTAAGGCTAAGAAATGCGAAGCCGGAAAGAAGTGAGGAGCTCAAAAGGAATGTGGAAAATCGAAAGCAAATGGACTAAAGGTCTCTAACTGATTCAAATAGCGAAACAAGCGACAAAAACGAAGGCGAGAAAATATCAACTCTTCAAGCAACCAACGAACGAGAAGGAATGCGTGAATACGTCACCACGTTGTTGTAAGAAACGTCGGCATTGTGTGGTCATAATTTCGGGGCTAGCCCCGATGATTCAGATGAAACAGAAAACAAACGCGGCGAGTGGAAGATAAAAGAGAGAATACGGTATATAATGAGCAACCGGGGCAAAATCGGCGTCGCCCCGTCGACGTTCGGCGAAGGCTTTGCGAGCAAAATATGAACCATGTCGGGAGAATATGGCTAGTGTAGACAGTCTGTGCAACCGATATCGAGGTATTTTTCGAATATTTTTTATTATACCGAAAAAACAACCGGGGCATTGGCCCTATTGACGCGACGCCACTGCAAAACACTTATATTATGGTAAAAAGTCGCGATAAATCCGGAGGCACAAGCTGCCGTTGCTTTCTCGTGAGAATAGAATGAATAAAGAACAAAACACAAGGGCAAAATTGTTGCATTATATTGAATCAAATATAGGTTGTTTCTGTGAAAAATGATAGTAGAGTACAGGTATCGGCAGTGTAACCAAAATACCGATTACAAAATGCTGACAATACGGATCACACGTGCCATCACAATTATCTGGATGAATATCACAATAAAGACTTCATGTGACATATCTGGAGGATTTGTAGCAGGAATACAATGTATTCAGGAATCCCTGACATTTAAGCACTTTTTAACATTTCTCCCTGACGCAAATTTGACCACTAAAATCCCGAACATGTCCGGAAAAAACCTGACGTATGGCAACCCTAGTTCAACTCCCTATTTCTGCAAAGAACTCTAATTATGCCGTAAGATCACTAGTAAAAATAAATAATTGTTGTGTGTGCAACTACTAGAAAGTCTATATTAAATAAAGGTGCGGCCCGCGGATTCACCCAGTTACTTGTATTTGGCCCTCCAATGAAAAATGTTGCACACCGCTAATATACAGTATTGCATTTTTGTAGCCTTCCGGTTTGTTGCCAGCAGAGTTATCCCCTCCCGCTCAGGTATATATGGGCTTTGCTCCCACTTATTGCAAACGCCCACATGCAAACGCACGAAAAAAAACTTACGGACGTTTATGTTAGGATAAGGATCAGTGCCCGACCTACCGACGCCATTCGTCTGTACGTGCATGAAGTGGTGTGGGTTGTACGCCTACTAAATGAAAATTGAACATTAGTAACAGATAGTTGATATGCCGGTACCGTTGAGCTTAGGACTATGGGAGCTGGTTCGGTTTCTGTTAAAGTGCACCTGAATACGGTACAGCAGACGGCTGACGGACAACAGGTCCCGGTTTGTGGTTCAGCAGCAAAGTTTTTTAGTCACCGTCTGACCGTGCGATTTGTACCGGGGGTATTGAGGTACCGGTATCAAAATAAAATAAATCCGATATTGTCTTTTGAAGTACCGGTACCGGTACCGGCAAAGCAGACTAGAGCGCTAGAATTCTGTTAGTTGTCAGGCTTTTTACCTTTACCATACAGCAGTACAGTGTGATAATAACATACCGTAGGCTACCGGTACTGTCTGAATGTACTATCGTTTGGTAACTTTTTATTTGTGCGATTTCAAAACTTTTCAGCAAGTCATAACTGACAACAGATTATTTTGTCGTGGCAAGTCTATGATAATGTATGTTGATAAGCCACCATGACTTCAGAATCTCAAACACCAAATGGAGTTACTCTTAATCGGCTACGTCGCACTTTGACATTACCATTGTCGAAAATGAAACCGAGAAGTAATAGTTTCCAAAGCTCCCATCAAAATGCATTGGATGTGGATATCAATAAAAAGAATGAAGAAAGAAACAGTAATGGACATAATTCACGCAAACGACTGCAACGCAATAATGTTTTGTCGAATAGCATGCGGAATCCAGTTAATCGCAAGGTATGAATGTTATTTCATTATACACTTACATTCTTAGTATTTCTTGTATAATTTGATATTGAAAAGGATTGTTATTCAAATGCAATTATGCTACAATTTTGTTTTAAATCAAATTGGTTTTGCTTGTCATTTCACAGTACGGCACACTATACAAATCTGGTGACATTGTCTCGGTAATAATACAGTATAATGAAGTTGCACAAAATACTACAAAAAAGTGCAATCTAGTAACGTCATCATTGAATTCCTTGAGAAAAAATAATCCGATTTACCGAAGGAATAATAATATTAACGGAACATCTGAGGTGTTCCCAGACGCTCCTCGTTTGTGGGACACATAGAGTGTTTGTTTTATTGAGCCAAATGGAGGGAGATTCTTGAAATTTGGATAGTGTGCTGTACTGTTTTAGAATACGATTAAGCAGAAATGTATTAGACTATGAGTAATTTATATTATAAGTATATTCAAAATGAAATATTTATATTGCAGGGAGATATTCGTGTAAGTCAATACGATCTAAAAAATCAGAAGGAGAAACAAGAACAAAATGATTCAATTATAGTGGAAAAGAAAAATGGTCAGCCGGTGATCCAGTCTGGAAATGGACAGGTTCTTGGCGCTATCAATGAATCTGGTGAAAACTTAATAATTGCTCAGGACAATTCAACAACAGGAAGAAAAGGAAAAAAGAAGCGACCAAGACGTGCCCGAAGGTGGCCCACGCAAACTTTGGCACGTGTTTTGGAAAGAATTAGTATTAGTATGAAAAAAAATGAGCATGCTGCCTCTGTTTTACGAACAGTTACTGTTCACCGTAAACCTGGGGAAACGCTTGGTATTTACATTAAGGAAGTGAAACGTAATGTTTCTAATTCATCAAATTTTTCTGATAGCGAAGGCGATAAAAAAACAATACCACGTTCTTGCATAGTGATATCTAGATTGGCCCAAGACAGTGTTGCGGCCAAACAAGGTATTTTACGAAACGGGGATGAAGTTCTTTTGGTAAACCACAGGGATATCAGCGAACTTTCTCTCACAGAAGTTGCTGCTATGATGGATTATCATCAGCAGTTGGTACTTAGTGTTCGCTCGAAGTACATTTCTGTCAATAACAATAATGAAGAAAAGATTTCTACAGATCAATGTGATTGCAAATGTACTTCAACAGACTCTAGCACATCGCAAACGGATTGTTGTCATTCTCCAAACAAATCTCCTACCTCAGTAACTATTTGTTCACAAGATTCTGTTTTTTCAAGTTCAAAAGTTCCAAGATGTTCTTCCGATTCTCTAAATACAAATCACACAAGAGAGGAGGCAATACCTAGTGTTTATGACAATAATTTTCCTTCAACGTTAGTGAATAGTGTGCCCTCGCCAGACGAAGTTGATTCTCATAGTAAACCGAAAGGTAGGGTGGAAATAGAATATGACGAAGCATTTCAAATTTTATTGAATGCTATAAATAGTTTTGAAAAACCTCAACCACCTTCCATTATAACTTGTCAAAATTCGAAAGTCAGCAATAGTGATTTTCGACCCGCAAGTTACTGGGCTCCACTTAATCAAATTATTTCAAATAATTCTGAGAATGACAGTACGACAGGCACAAGTATTGACAATGAAGATTGTTCAGGAACGAGTGATTCTCCAAACACAAGCATGTCCAATACACCACAATTTCCAAGTACTTCTGAACTTCCCTTTTCGGATGATCCAGAATATGATGAAGTAGCGGCCTCTGAACTGGGAGAAGCACCTGGGGATGAGGTGCAAGTGGATGGATGCGCTCACTTGTTTATACCGTATCGTAGACAAGATTCTTTATCGAGTGAAGTCAGCGAAAATCTGCCTACTGTAAATGCAGTATATGTATCAACTGCTACATCAGCTAATGACGAGGCTCATCAAAGCAGTGATTATCATAAGGATACCATGAAAGTAACTCGGATACAAGGAGAAAATGTAACAGGGGCACATAGTACCAATCCGATAATTTCTGTGGAAAACTCTACAGTACCACTGATGCCTCATACAACACAAATTGCTGCATCTTCCTTGCAACATCTTAAACCTGGTCATGTTATAACGGTTGGACAACGACGTGAATGGTTGGATAAAGGCAAGGATATATCTCCAGAACTAAAAACAAGACTTGATTGGGGAAATAAAAAACGTAACGATATATCTGAAAGTGCAGTTCCCGATGTTCCTCCACGAGCAGGAGAACATGCTTTTACATTTTCTGAAAAGCACAGTCAGGTAGGTTTAACTCCATTTTTCAGTTTATAGTTTCAAATTTAGTAGCGGACTTTGTGGTAGACATTTTGGGATTCAATGCATGATGTGAAAGGTATAAACTTGGGCAAAAATAAATTTTAAAAATCATTTACATAAAATGAATAATATGCATTATTAACTTAATCCAATATTTAGTTTCATTTTCCTACAGATGTCGTCACATCACACCGGTCGCAGAACGTCGTCTGAATCATCAACTGCTAGCTCCCATATTGTTGCCACTACACCTCTACCTCATGAAAACTATATATTGCCTGGGCCTTCATTGGACCGAAGTCCAATAGAAAAAAGCCCCAAAAGTTTATTCAAAGTCCTACAACTACAACAACCTCTGAAATTTGAAAGTTCACTCAGTTATGAAGAATCTAGAAAAGATTCAAAAGCAGATCAACAACCAGTGATTTCAACTCCAACACATCAAAGAACTATTTCTAGTGAGTTATTTGAGGATTCAGAAAGAAAGATGTCTTTATTTGAAATGCAAATAATAATTTCATGTTCTTGTAAAATGTATTACATTTTTACTTGTTGTTTGATCTGCACAAACATGCTCTTTCATCGAACAATGAGATATATTTTTATTCTCAATATAATTTGGCACACACATAATTAAAAGAAAAATGTAATTGCGCAATAAACGTATTTTTTAATCAAATTTTATCATCAGATCCATCATCGAGAACTTTTTGGAGTAAAGTAACATCCCCACCCCGGTTACGGAAAAACAGAATCGGCAAGAAAATTACAAAACGAATAATAAAGAAGAAGGGAAGGTAGGCCTGATCATTTTTTGTTGTTCTTCTTTGTTATGACAATGCCCATTAGACCAGTGACCTGTTACAACAATGTGTAACTGAGTTTACTTTGGTTAATTTCATGAATAATAATCCGTGTTTAACTTGTTTAGATTATGTATATTTCATAGTGATGATAGATATTTCGAAACCATATTGAAAACAGTGATGGCTTGCTTGTGTAATAATATTTGTAAATTTCTTCATGGTGGAATGTTTAATAAGTTCATCTATATACCACTATAAGACTATATACCACAATTATTGTGTGGAGATATTTTATTATTAAAATTATTCAATGTTTACATTGTTAGAACATGTTTCTATATTATGGGATTATTACAAAATGAGGTCCTTAATTTAAACATACTTGAACAATGCGCAGGCGTTATTTATATTGGCCAATATATCGGTAATATCAGCTTGAAATTTTCCGGTATTTCGTTTTATCACCCTTTATAATTGGAGGCTATTAATCAATATATCACAATAAAGGAAAAGTGCCGTGTGGGCTTTTAGTGTTAGCCACAAATTTATGTTAGGATTTGTTATGCCGGTGGTAGTTATACTTAAATCAAGAGTGGGTCATTGGACAACTGTCAACGATCATTGTTTGAGGAAGTGGCATTCCATGCATTGTTGTTTCATGTCCACCTGTTCTCTTTTGATTTTTTATATTGGCTCACTATTATATTGACGCGCGTGCTGAACGTAAGTCATCTGTTTGCTCAAGGTGTTGATTTAAGAGAATAATATATATCTAACCTAGTCAGGCTGTTGAGATTTGCCGAGTCTGGGCCAAGCTTCAAAGGTCTCTCTGCATGTAGTTATCACACAAACATGCATAATTTGTTATAAATATCTTATTTCTTGCCTGTATAAGATGAGAGGAAAATCTCAAATATGAATTTAACCATGCTCTGTCCTCACTATGTCAATAGTTTGCTTCTGTTATTGATATTTTATCAAGTTACGTTACTAATACAATTCTGTAAATGAAAATAAAGTGATTGTTGTCATTGTCGAAATAATCTCGTTTGGAATGTAACAAATGATAACAATTATTTTATATATATATATATATATGTATTACATACAATGATGCGTTTGTGTTTCAAATGTCTATTTCTTACATATCGATTTAAGGTTCATAATATTATCTTATTTAAAAGAACAAATGTGTTTACTGAAATTGAACGTAACCCATTATTTAATTTTCCATAGTTCTGATGGAGATACCACTGATCCACCTTCCACAGATGGTTTGAATGATTCAGTATCAGTTGTTGATCGATACCATTTGGAATCTGGCGAGGTAGAGCTATTTTTAATTTTTTCACTGAAAATTGTATTTTTACTCTCGATATAATTAGTGCTGCAATTATTTTTGAAAATGCAGTTATATACTAAAATAACTCTCGTGCTCATTTAATATTTCCTTGACTGTTGTCTCTTGCAATGAAGATATTGACTTATTAGCCAAAATATTACATATTTTTGTATCGTTTCTTAGGATCAACGTAGACTGAGTTGTCAATTTGTTACTGACAATCGACCTCATGATCCATCGATAAAACCTCTCAATTTATCTGATTTCAAGAAATACAAACCACCTGTTCCGAATGCTGATGGCAAATACTCACAAACACCTATTGCTGGTAAACATCCAATATCAATGAATATTTTTCAGTAATTTGTTGTCAATCCTAGTAGGCAAAACTTTGCGAATTGTTTAGTATTCCTTCAGATCTGAATTGAACTTTAAGTAGCTTTTGCGGTCGGATCAACCAAACTCTTGGAGTACTTAATAAGCAGCAATTAAGTTTTTAATGACGCCTCTATGTGTGAAATTTTTTACAAGTAGGCATACTGTGGTCTTACATCATGTAGAGTTCGATTACTTGTTTGAGATATTTTAAAGTGAATAAAATATTAGGAATTTTTGATACTTTTTTTTTTCAATTCTTTATTGTTATATTTCAGTATAATTTTTCCTTTATGTTGCCAAATTGTCATTATTGTAGGTTCTCTTGTTATCACATTGTATGGAGCTCGAGACATCAAGAAAACAGTAAGTGAGGTTTACTGCATTGCACAAGTGGATGACGATGTTAAACACAGAATAAGGACCAGGATGCAACCATGTCGCGGATCTGTAGCATGGAATGATTGTTATGAGGTAATTTTCTTTATACTGCTAAAACTAATTTGATTCAATAAATCGTCGTTTCATATTTATCGATATCATTAGTCAGTTTGTATATACTTGATTGTAATATTTTATTCATCAGGCAAAATTGGAAGATGCCTATGATCTCCATATCACTTTGTACTCATGGGAAGCACACGGAAACAATCACCATAAAACTTTAGCGAAATCAACCTTACCTATATCAGATTTATTGTGTGGCGTCATTGGAGTACCTGTCAAATTAGCTGTCAAGTTAGAACCTCGTGGAACTTTATATATCAAGGTAAATTAAATTTACACATTATGTGTTCTGGAAACATCTGGTAGTCGGTACCCATAATGGAGATTTTTAATAATTGATGGATGAGTAATATTCTTGCACTGTTTTTCACATATTGAAGCGAAACTGAAGATCAGTTTTTATCTCTGTATATTTTTCTTAAATTGTAGTTGCCAATACTTTGATCAAATTATTTTGATTGCTGTATATTATCTAATTATGCACTTATAACATTTCTATATGTTGTCTTTATTTTTTATTGTGTAAATGTAAATTTCTAAAAAAAAGATTGTTTTCAATTTAAACAGTCATATTTTATAATGAATATAATTCTTTTATTTTTAAGTTGAGCGTTGAAGATCCATCGACTATGGCTGGTCCTAAAGTATTTGGTGCCGATTTACAAAGCATATTAGATAGAGAACAATCTGGTCTTAGTATTCCATTGCTCGTTAATGATTGCATTAGAGAGGTGGAGGCTAGAGGGATGTCGGTATGTTCATTTTAAATCATCATATGTAGTGTTAAGTTAAGAGTACTCAGTCTAATATACTGTTTTGTATACCATAAAACCAGTTCCCTATTTTTAGATATAATTGTTACTGTCTATTTAAAGAAGTAATTTTGAAAATTGGAAGAATAAAACTGTATATATGGAAATTTTTAAATAAACATTTTATTAAATTTATTATATTTATTTAAAAGCATGTTGTGCCCTGAAATAAAATACATGGCCTGGAATTTATAGCGTGAAATACTCAAGAAAGCTGTTAAGTTTTATATACCTTTACTTTTCCGCAATACTATACTCTGTATGACGTCAATGGCTCAAATATAATATTTAACTTCCAATAAAAACTAGTTGAAAGACTAGTTGAAAGTGTCAAAGGTACATAATTTCACCCCATAAAATGTAGTTGACAAAGCTGGTATTTAATATTTGGAGTGGAAAGTAAAAGTCTTTAGCTAGAAGTGAAGTGTGAAGACAAAAGTTTCAACCGAATTTTTTTTAACACCACTATAGAGTATAGACTAATCCACTTGGCTTTTTAGTTTCACTAGTGGATTCTTCTGATACTTATACCGTTATACGCCTCATCTAGTTTTGCTCATTTAATATCCAATTTTTTTTTTCATGTACAAAAAAAAAGACTAGTTTTAAAACAATTACGGTAGGTTTCAAAAAATAAATTATAAAATTGTTTCCATTTCGATACTGGATAGCTTTATTCGTATTGATTTAAGATTGTAGGTTTAAAGACTGAAGTATTTTATTGAGAGAAATTCATTTTCTTCGCCAGTCCATTTTGCGAATTCAGTTTTTTATAAATCATTACTGGAACATATTACAAGGTCTGTGTCATGCATGGTCTATTCTTGACAAACTTCCTAATTGATGTAGTCAATTACTTCCTTTATATCCTTATGTGAATTATTAACTCCTAATACTGCATTAGTTTTAATTCCATAGGAAATTGATGTTTGGCTATAAAACTCTGGAATGCTCTCTAATTAGTATTATAATTACTAAGCATATTTATCAACCATCATGTTCTTATTTGTTTATCTAAAGCCAAACAGAAATTTCCAAATGTAATTATCTTGATATGTAGTTGTGAATTGGTTGAGCTTGTTTGTATAGCAAGATGTATAAAATGTATGAAATAACATCTCATCAGGTATGGCCACGGATTTTTTTTCATAACACACATCTAAAGATAAAAGTCTGCTTGAAAATATATATGTTTCTCAATATTCTGTTTTTCACATCTGTTTAACATATAACAAAGAAATGTTAGCAGTTTCTCTAAATAATCAGAAAAATAGGTCGTAAATTCCAGGACAGCTGTCACATTTCTATTGTCTGACTAACTAAAAGCATATTGGGAAACTGTGCACACTGCTTTGAAAAGGTTGTAACTCTGTTGTCATAAATATAGGGATAATAAAATTGAGTAAAGCAATTTGCTAAATGGTATAACTAGTAATAAAATCAATAATAAAACCAGCTGGATTTAATTCATATCTCTTTGAAATGCTACATAACAAATTGTTAAATAGTAAAATATATAGTGCGGAAATTATTGCATTATTAAATCTGTACTGAGCTAATAATAACTATTTTTATAAGGTAGATTGAGTAATACAAAATTCCTAAAATTCTTCATCTTTGATAATATTGATATTTTTCTGCTTTCCAGTGTCTATTTTATGTCATGATGTCCACTTAATATTATGATTTATGATATTATATTTATCTGATAATCTGATTCAATTGGAAGATTTTCACAATATTTGCAGTTTAGGGGTAATGATAATGCAGCTTTCTCTAACATACAAACTATTATTTACTAAAGACAGACAAAGATAAACCGTGTATCTGTATGTTATAGATATGTTTACTCCACCTGTCGAATTTTTACGTATGCACCTTGGATTCAATAAAATTATACATTAGTATATATTACTTGTATTTAATGTCAAATATTTTGTCAAAAAATATGTATCTCAAATTTTAGGTGGTTGGTATTTATCGTCTTTGTGGTTCTGCAATTGCTAAGAGAGAACTGAGAAAGAAATATGAAGACAACTCTAAATCCGTGGATTTATCGCAGGAGAATTATCCTGACGTCAACGTAATAACAGGTTGGCATCATATTATCATGAATAAAATTTCGGTTAAGTTCAAGAATAATATTGCAATATTCCTATGTGACTGAATCTCCATATACTCAGAAAAATAGATCCAGAAATAAATCTTATTGTATTGGACCAAATAGAAATGTTCTGTTTCTCTTTTCTACAACAAGTCAATCAACAGATAGGCCTACTCAGCTAAGTATGAGTTTTGGATACGAATTATCACATTTTGATGTAAATCTTTATTGTATCCGTGGCTTCATTTACATTTTAAAATATTTGGCTCATAGATTGCGATAGTATCAAACGAATTCATTCTTACAATTATCCATTTATTTGGTCTCTCAGATATATTAAATTAGGTCTCATCCGTAAACATGGCTGATTTTTGTATACATTTTAGAAGTGAATTGTTTGTATTGGTTATCCTTGCGCAGTGTTGATATCAAGTAATGTTTACACCTGTGCAAAGTCCAGTGTCCTCTTTTGATGGATTGATTGATAAATGACTTTTGTCTGGTCGCTTTCAATTTCACTCTATAATTGGTGTCAAGTTACTGCCTTACAAATAATATGAGACTATAATCCAATTGCTTGTATTAGGCGTGTAGTATAAAATAAAAAATCTTTTCAACATTCTAATAAAATGTATGGAATTTGCCAACAATAGTAACCAACTAGTAAAATGTGATTCATCATGTCAAAAATATTTCACCTTTTGTAGTACTTGTTATTAATCATTCAGAGACAAATATTCAGTCACGTTCAATAACTTACTCATTAACCTCAATCGTAAAATGCCGGTTAGTTAGTCATTTTGTAAGTATGATGGAATTCAGTTCAATAAGGGGTTGGTTGGAAGTAACATAGTAACATATATGGTCACTGTGACAAAAAAGCTCTCGGTATATATGATTTTCATATATCCTGGAAATCTGTTTTTTACTAGAAATCTATTTACAATTCATTCACAGTCTTATTTCTCTACAATCCAACTTTATTTATCTTGAAATGCTGTTGAATTCACTTTCGCAAAGTGTGTGTTTTTGTCATTTGTATTTACAGAGAAGCTGTACAAAACAACAATTATAATAAATGTCTATTGTCTGTTTATTTGATGACCGGACATATTGTGACAAATTTGTAATCTTTTATTTACTATTCACATTGTTGGCAATTGTAATTATCATAGACTGAATTGTTGGTTCAAGTGTAATTCTATCTAGAATATATTTGAACTGCGTGAACAAATAAAGCGTCGATTCATTCACTAAAATGCAGCAAGGGATTATTAGAGATAAGATTGAACAGAGCCGCTTGTTGCCTGTTGAGGTGTAAATAAACGCGTGGAATGTTTGTACGTACCTGTTAAGTAATATACCCTCAAGCATCACTTCGTTGCACACGAGAGATGAAAATAGCCAAACATGAATTTACCAACTGAGGAATGTTGCCTCGGGTATTATGATTCGCGCTGAATGCTTGCTTAGTTGAGCATAATCCGACTATATTTTTTCATCAAAGCAGCCTTGCTGTCTTGCACGGATGCCTGTAATCACACAAGGTGATGTCTTGAAAGATAAGTTTGTTAATAGGATAATACTTTGGGCAGTAAATATTTTTTATTTAGGTTCGATCGGGTTAGACCATTATCGAGAGATTGTTTTACTTATGGCCCATGCTTTATAATCTATATCATTTGTTTGATCAATCCTATAATCCATCACATCCATTTTACTTTCTGTGATCTAGAAATTTTACAGTGCAAATTTTTAATTACAATAGGAATTGATAGAGTCGTATATGATTGAACGTCATAATTTCATTCTTGGGAATAGCACGATTAGAAATTTAAATTTGAAAATGTCACATTGATATTCTAAGAAAAATGTTTTTTTTTATATCTCTTATATTTCTGCAGTTGTTAGTATAGTCAATATTAATAAATCTGACATACAATTTGAACTTCTTAAAATACGACGCTTGAAATATTATGTTGTATTTATTTTGGTTGTTCTATTTTTAAAAGTAACCGGATACCATCATAATCTCATGGTCTGTGACCGTCGATTGGCACGAAACATTTTTTTTTATGTAAAAAAGTGAAAGTTTAAAGTCGGTATTAATTTTGTTTTAATATTGTTATACTTTTTGCAGAAATTTTTTGTTTTTTCAGGAATACTAAAAGATTTCTTGAGAGAACTTCCGCAGCCACTTTTTCCACCAGAACTCTTGGAAGCAGTCACAATTGCAATGGAGAACTCCACAGGTAATCCATCCCGTTGTTTATTTATTGTAATCTAGGTACAACATGTTTTTCGTTGTTCATTGGTCTGATAAACAAGATTGGCTACAGTCTGCTTATTCTGCTATATTGTAAACAAAACACTATTGTTTATGACACATCTTTTAAAACTATTACTAAGAAGAGTCGATTAAGTTGAGGGAATTTAGTTTGAACAAAGTTGAAAATTGACCGATATTTGAAGAAGATTTTTGTTACCGTACCAGATAATCTGAATATATTCTTATTACCGAAATTGCCAAAACATGTCTATTTCCTTCATGTTTTTTCCTTCACTTGTCTTAATTTACAAAGTAGCGTTTTTTAAAAACAAATTTTTTTTTTAGCTTTCGAAACTCATTATAATAATTATTAAACACATTTCATGCGAATTTGTTATACGGTTCTTATGTTCATTGAACTTCATTTTATTTCACCTATTTAATAAATTTCGATTAAATATTTAATGAATCTTTAAAACAAAAAATAATTTTTCTGTTTTAAAGCTGCGAAGTATAGACCGGCAGGTTTCATGCTTGATAAACCATAACCAAATTTTTAAGACGTTTTCTCTGCGTAGTAGAAAAGATTAAATTTCGCGATTCGCCAAATTCCTATCGTGCCGCTTTTGGTAATTTAATATTTTGATGTGGTTTTTTGCGCAATTTTTATTTTTAAAGAATATATCATAATAATATATCATAATAAATATCTGATTTTTTATTTCAAAAATTATAGGAGAACACTTCCAGAATATTTGTATTCATAATATAGAAGGATTTTAGCAGAAATTTTACTTGGTTTGGAGAAAATGCTCCTAAATAAGCTTATATAATAATTTAAAACTTGGTCAATTTAACACTTAGTTCCGTATTTTGCATATTGTTTATTCTTAAAACACTCGCATTAGGGTGTATGTCTGAAATGTATATTAGTTTAATACTGTAATGGTCTGTACTTGATGTTTTTTCTTGGAATAAGATATTGAAATCGCCACCCTCGTATAGTAAAATGCATCAGGAATTCTGATGTATGGGAATAAATATTTTATAGCGTTAGACATAAATATCTTAGAAATTTCACGATTTAAATTGAATTTCAGAATATTCGAAATCGAAAAGTAAAATATTCAAATACTTACATCCCTAATATGTATGTACTGCTTTGAGAAGTTATTTAGTTTTGTCACAGTTCAGTTTGATTACTTTTTATAAACTCATGTTCACTTATGACTAGTGCGGGTCAAGTGCTTTTTAAGTGCTCTAGTCAGGTCACCAAAATAATATAATTCACTTGAAATGCCTTACTAAGCCCGATCTACATACGGCCTTTTTTGTATGGCATGGGCCATGCATGAGCTAATATGTGAAGTGTGACATGTCATTACTTTAATCTTGTGGACATGAAACATTTGTGTGGGAAGAAATAGGTTGAAGATGTCTAACATAATATTGTATAGGATGAAAAATTTTCAATAGAATTGTTCATTGAATTTTTGAAGTAATTAATGGATGCTTTTATTGTGGATATGTTTTAGCGTCCTCGAGAGTGACAAGCGTATCATCTCCTTTCGAACCTACTCCACCTGTAGACTTCCCCGATCTCCTTGTCGATGGAGTGATAATGGATGAAGATATACCTACAGGAAGACAGAGTGCTATTTTCAATTTACTCGAAGTTGAGCGAAAAGTCAATCTTCCGCCTGCCGAACGAGCTACTCTCTACGCATTACTAAACCACCTCAAACGAGTTTCGGCAAATCAAGTGCAAAATAAGATGACATGCCAAAATTTAGCTGTTTGTTTTGGTCCTGTCCTTCTGGGATCAATCAACATGGGACCATCCAAAGGGTAATTTATTATATTTTGGAAAATTTGCTTCAACAAAAGTTTGACTATCTACTTATTTTCATTAAAGTCACTTAGAGTGAGATGTTTGCATTGGTCAGTATGGGAGTAACAAATTGTCTCAAAGACTTGAGAAAAGAGAAACTATAGTCCGTTCAATGCTAAGCAATTCTTCAGCATGACTGAAAAACTACACAATTGAAGTTTTGTATTTTGTCACAAATTCGACTATTTTTACTTTTACTCAGATTTTATTCATTGAATCCCCTGAATGTTTTAATAATTTGAATTCCTCATCATCAGTGTTCTCAACTCCGAATTTTTATTCCCTTTCAAAATGCTGAACTTTACATCCAAAACGTGGCATCTAGTTGCTAAACTAAAATGGGGTTCTGGTAAATAACACAGAAGACATTTATGTAAAATTTCTTTTAAAATTTGATAGTATCACAATTCACAATGTATCTATTACAGATTGGATTTGACTGCTGCCATCGGATTCAAGCGTCATATTCAAGTGCTTAATTTTATGGTTTCCAATTGGCCGAGAGATCCAGTACCTTTGCATGATGCTGATGACATTCTTGAAAACAAACCTGAGAGAGTTATTGACTCCATTAGCAATGGTCAGTACACAATTATTAACTCCTCCATGATAGAATGTTGTATTTACTTCATAATGCAATGGTGGGCAAACCGCAACTCGGGGGCCGCATGCAGCTTGCGAGAGTTTTTATGCGGCTCTTCTCGCTAACATCAATTATCATCTAAATTTAACTAAGAGAAACTGTATTGTAACAGTTTTTTTAAATTTATTAAGTGATTAAAAAAAGTTTGATCAATGATTAGACAAATTATGTTTTAGTATGAAAATTGTTGTAGCGTGGAATTGTAAATTTAAATCAGTCAAGCGACAAACCTTACGTCACAATGGTCAAATGTTGGTGGTATTGTTACAGAGTCTTAGTTACAGTGTGATATGCCCCGCACTGCCTTGACTATGTATTGCCCAAGATGTCAAAAACTTGCAAATAGGATGGAAACACATAAGTCAACTAGTTATATCCTAGCCTGGCAATAAATACTTTATAATATTATTAATTGTTATTAGAAGTTTGTGTAAAAATATTTTCTGTTCAAGGTATTCTAATAATAATAATATTTTCAAGATTTATGCGGCTCTCACATATCTTTGCCTTGCTACATGCGGCTGTATGCGGCACTGGGCAAATCTTGCTCATCCCTGAAGTATTGTATGCTTCCATTGTCTTGTTTAACAAATAAATGTGACTGTAATCATAATATGTTTTTTGTTTTATCTGACTGAAATGGCTGATAACTTGCAAGATTGTATTTTTACAATCTTTACAAAATAAGAACATTCTGGTAATCCTATTCACATTAATTTGACAAATACATATTTTTATTACTAGTTGAAAACAATAAATATTTTAATTTTTATCTGTTTTATCTTTGTTCTTTCATTGTAGAAATAAAAGATATTGTCAGAAATTTATATTTGACATTTCATTTTGCAAATAGTGGAATTTTGATATTAGATTATTGATAATATATTTTTCTAAAGGAGTTATGAATATCACATCTCAATTATTATTCGCGTTTAATTTCTAAAATGTTCAAATTGATTATTTTTTCTTGTGTTAATAATATTGAAAGTCTTTGTTTACATTATCTCCAACATTCTTTATTTACAAAATAACAGGAGACAGCCGACGGGCATCAAAACGAATCAGCCGAGTGAGTTTAACCCGAAGAATCAGCTACGTCTTTTCAACGCAAACTGGTTCAAACCACTCAAGCACTTCTGGTAGTTTGAACGTTGAACTTGATAACATTAGAACAACAATTCCTCTCTCTAAACAAGTTTTAAACAACACAAGAAAAAGTGGATCGCTGGTTAGTAAAAACTTTTCTCTGGTAATGGATTGTTCAGCTCAAACAGACTTTGGAAATAAACTACTTCTTAAGAAAATTTGAATTTAAATATTCCAAATCTATTCAGTATCTTAATCCTACTATAATCAAAATGTAAGTCCTGGAGCCGATTTCTTGTATCAATAGTAATTTTGTATATTTTACTTTATGAAAAAAAAAATCCACCCAATTGTACTTTCACTGTTATTAAAGCTTTTGATTTTATTATTATTCAGTGATAAATATTTTGTTTTAATTCATTCTCATTCATGTATTTAAATGGCCAATCAACACACAATGCACCATGTCAGTTAAATAGAAAATAGTTGTGTACAAATCCAAATGTTTCTTCTAAAATTGTGGACATGTTTGTATTTATAAACAATTAGTGTTAGATTATGCCGAGACTTATCTCGTTTTGGAATCTTGTGAAATAGATTGGAATCAGTATCAGAAAATGAACGGTCAAAAGTTGTAATAAGGATGGTGTGGAATTTATTCTTAGATTTTCTAACAATATTTTTAAAAACGAATAGGTCAAAAAATTTCGAATTGTTGAACGCAGCAGGTTAGCCAGTAGCTTTGGATTTCCGAAATCACAAGGTTAGTTTCCCATGGCTTTGTCGGTTTGTTTGTTTACTTCATCAGTCTGGAATGAAAACAATAAACAACAACGCAGCATGCTTCCCATATTGTTAAGTTCATTTTGTTTATCTTGCCGCATGATAAAACTAGCATGGATTGTGTTTTTCATGATTTCTTGTCTGTGTTATCGATGAAGTGAAATGTATCGATGCTGAATCATAGAAGAAAAATAAACATCAACGTCCTGGCCATTGTTTGTTGGTTTGTTTTATTTTTGCATGAAGGAGTATCACACACGAAAAGTCGTTTGCGGTCATTCATGTGTTTGTAAGCAAATTGTTAGAGCAGAGCAGAGTTAGAGCCTAGGCCCACTTAATGATATCCCTTTAGTCGTGTATATTGAGGTAATAGTTTTGAAACCATTAGCCTGAGGAAGGAGCATTTTCCTAACGATAATGATCATAACGATTTTAACTACTGTGGAAGTTTATGTCAGATCGATTTGTATTTTACATTTTATCCCTCCCTTATCATCAAAGTACTTTAAATGGACTGATGTGATTTTGTTCAAACTGCTAACTTGTTTGTTGGATTCTTGTCAAATAACTCGATAGGTCTCCTTCTCAATGTATATAATGTGGAAAATCATAATATATGAATTTGTCACAAGTCATGTTTTCAAACGCACAGAGAATTCTTTTGTTGATTTGAATTCATAGAAATCACAATTGTATTTTTATTTTATTCTGGCGCCCAGATTTTTTTATTGGCCGTTTCATCTTCATAAATACCATTTCTTTGTTTTTCGTAATGGATTAAATTATTTACGCAAAAATATTTCATTATGTAATGAGTGTTTCGTTGGTTGCTTCCTTGTCAATGGATTTTCTATTTTAATTTTATTAATGTTCGCTTGTTTATTGGCTTCGTATGTTGGGTCATATCGAGGAATCTTTATTAACAAAGTTTTTGTCAATATTGACCAAAATTATATCGGTACATTCTTATTGGTATTAATCTATAAAAGGTCAAATGATATTTAGACACTCAATAGAAGAAAGCGAATTTTAATTTTGTCAGTGATCAAAAAAAATGTACGATATTTTGGTGATTTATAAAATAGTTAATGTGTTTAATTAGGAGCTTGTTTTGTTTTTACTATTTTTGTCACTACTGATTGTATTTCTGTCCCTGTATTTTCAAGCTCATTTTTGGTGAAAATTCGTGAGTTGTTGAGGTTGTGGTTTTCTATCCATATGCAAAACTACTTTGTTTTGTTATGGCTATTGATAATGATAAGAAACCAACATGAACGATATATCTGATTTGATTTAGGTTACAATACTCCTGTTGTTCATAATTGTTTTCAAAATTCAACAAATAGGAAGGAAGTAGTTCCTTTGGCTGGAAGGTCTTTGTTGAATGCTAGCTTGATTACAAGAGAAAATAATTGGTATGTGCAACCAATAAAAAAATATCATTTGACATCGTTATCCGGGGTGAATTACTTTCAAATTACTACCGGTATATCTAATCAGAAATTCCCAAGAAGGAAAACCAATCTACAGAATATATATATAGGAACACATCCACACACATTCTGTTCCTTTTAATCCTGTATTATTTTATCATTCTTGTACATGTTGACGCAACCATACAAATAACATCTTAAATGGTATTGAAGAAACAGTAATCAACACTATACAAATATTATTTCTGCCTCAATATACTCCCTCTTCATTCATTGTTTTTGCTGTGTAGGATAGAGATGAAATTTAATACATTGTATGAAAACCAGAGTATTGTCTCAACATATTTTCTTCTTTCGAGCATCATAATCAATCGTTCATATGCTACAGATAAACTTAGCTCTCAATGTCTCGAGCATACATTTTTATTCCATGCTTGGTTGTTGTAAGACTTGAATAAAACACCAAATTCCTTATTATATTGGGCTTATTTTGTTTATTTAGTTTTGTTTACCAGTTTGATTATGGTTTTATTATAGAATTCCATTAAACTGCCTGTAGCAATATTAATAAAAATACATTACATTATATTCCAAAGTCACAACTTCATAACAAGTTAATGCAATACTAAATGAATGTACTTCATAATGGTTATTCCTAGCAGAAATGCGCTCACTAGCGATCTCATATTTTATGTCAAATATTCATCAAGCATACTGCAAATGAAAAAAGCTCATGCCATCAAACTTTTATTCAATAAGTCAACTTCAAACTAGTTTCTCAAACAATTCTGAGTTTCATAAGCTTATGTCTGGATAGTTTGGTGTTGTAGGTCTGAACTGATCAATTGTATCATGAAGCCCTATTGAAATATGTTATGCTTATCATATCAATTTAAAAAATATCTTCTTAAAACTACAGTGTATTCTTTGAAGTTGATTTGAACTCGCATATAGCAATAGGCCCTTTTCCGATAACATATCCCACAAAAGAATTATATATTTCATTGAACTTTATTATTATCGAAACATCAAGCATTGAAAGTTCGTCTTTGAATTGCAGTTTTAAATTTTGTACAATATTGACCTTCGTTATTGAATTCATGACACTGATTTGAGAAAAAAGATTTATATAAATAGATAATAATTTTTCCTGGTTCTGATTGAAGTAGTAAAACTTCGCTCATTTCAATCAAATTGCCATTTCTTTTGTTATCACTCTGCCTGATTTGTTCACTTTTTCACCAATATTGTGAAAATGTGTAGCCCCATTTCCTTTATTTTAGAGATGGTGCTTTGTTCAGAATCATCACCATATTAAGTAGTAACTGTCGAAATCGCATAACTCATGCGCATATTATCTTTTTCAATTTCAGACCAATATTTTGGAGTCGAACTTGGATGCGTGCGCCGAAAGAGTTTTAGATAAAGATGGATATTTTCAGCAGGATGAGCACGATATTCTTTTGCAAGATTGTGATGATGAATTTTTGCGAGAGAGGAGCGTTGATGACAGCATGCTTTTTGAAAGATGAATCAGAATAGCAATCGTGCAGAAAATATACTGAGAAAAATGTACAGCATCGCCGCATTGTGTCGACGTATGGAACACACATATATTGCTACAAATGTAGCAGGTGTTATTGTGAAACATACTGAATAGGTAAAGGTGCAAATATTCAAAATATGACGATACACAGATGTTTGTATGTTATTCTATTCAGTTTTTAGTCAGGTTGATAAACCATTCCATTGTAATGCCTATTCAAAAATGGTAACAGATGAATTAGGGGTCAACTTATATATTTTATACATAGCCCGCATATAAACAAGACTATTTTTGCATCTGCTACATTCCAACAAGTTTGGCCAACATAAATGGATTTTTATTCTTCAGTTTTTGTTTAAATGAATATAAAATTTCTGAACTAACCCATTATACAGATTTTAAATACTAAACCATTATTTTCGTGTTTGTAAATTATTATTTCTTCCTCATCCTATCATGTTAATTGCTTTTATCATTATTAATTTTGATTTTTCATTCTTGTCTTTGTATATTGTTGCGAATCTTTTTTTTTTCAATACTCACACAACTGCCATTCAAATAATGTTGTTCTTCGTAATATCTCTCTCTACAGCTTCCTTGTTTATTTGGGAATGCTTATAATACTCCAGCCAGAATGGGGTTAATGTTGGAACATTTTTTGACTGATATATGCTACAGTCACTACTATGTTTTTTTTATCAAGGGTTTTCAATTTATACTTCAATGTTCTACTTTTACGAAAACAAGTCGAATTAAGAAGTTGTATTTTCTTATAAATCTTGGAATACTTAAATTGGACAACAATCCAATATTGTTGGAAAAACAATAAATAACATAATTAGGTTTTCGTTTATCCATTAGCTAAATACTTGAAAATTTATTTTTGAATTTTTATTAACATAAGCAATACTAGTTTACTTTGCGTTATGATTTGGGTTGGACTTGGACGGATAGATTTTATTATTTTTTAATTTTCATTTATGTTCATTGTGTCTGTATGTATGTTTCAGTATGTTGATGTTTTTTCCATCATGATATGTTGTACTGACTGATTCATCGGACATCGGGGCCTTGTTGCATTGGAACAGTTTCCCAATTCCTTTTCGCCATGAATTTAGCAATAGGTTCATTTAGTGTTTGCTATATAATGTAAATTTCCGATATACTGAATATAAATTACTAAATTCCAAATAAAAGCCCCCTTGATGACATAGTTCTCGGTGCCAACTGTTTTTAAATTCATTAGTAACCTAAATTTGAACGAAATGAAGAAATGCAACTTATTTACTATAAAATGGTACTGATTTTACTGGATATTAACATGTTTTAATGTTTTCCTCATGCACCTGACTGCTTTTTTTCATTAATGTAATGTAACTTTTTGTGGAACTGGTGCTAGATAACATATAACACCATTTTTTTACAATTTGAAAATATTGTTCACTATTTACTGTATAGGTAATTATTCATTCTCTATTTTCCGCCCATCTCTTTTCATGGTGCAAATATTGTGTGTAGTTGGAATATTCAGGTTTAGACTCACGAAGCATATTGTTGTTTTTATCTTTACCGAATGTCGTCCGTTTTGCATCTTCATCATGTACATACTTCATTTCTTGCCATTACGCAAGGCCAGGATTTCAATATCAGATCATGCTTGGGCCGAATTCTAAGTTTGTTTATCACATATTTGCTGTTGTTAGGATTATTCCCTAACGTCCAAGCATGTTCTGATAATGATTAACTGGTCTGGCGGACAATATACCTCTGTTTCTTATTTCAATTATAAGGTGTGTCCACACTTCGAAAGCAGCAGTATTAAATCCCCAGTTCCAAAACAATACTATTGCATCGAGTTTGGCCAGAATATCATTAAAATTTGTCAGGCAGACATTTCATCAAAATTGACTCATAGTAGCAACACCTCACTCACTCAAGAACAGAGTAATGAGACCACCGAGACACTTGAGAAATGAGTTACAGAAAATTGACCTATGCTGTTCTAGAATGGATCTGGTCACTGCTCCTCAAATGTTTTACATTGTAATTGGCAAATAAGATTAATTTTAAATGTATTAACACCCGTGCTATTGAGGTCTTATTCAAAATAATTCCAACTCACGTGCATTTCCAAATGATGGTCTTCGGACTGCACTAAATTGTATGGAAACCTGACAAAATTTATTCCGTTTTGTTGAATGTCGCCCAAAACTTGGTGTATTGCTATCACGCACAGTATATCCTATTCAGAGTTTCCTATGTCAAAATGTTTTTTTCATATTCACTGATATACAAAAGGTATGAAAAGAAACAATCGACAGCTACATTCATTTCTGAATATTTATGATCAAAATACTCATACAATCGAAATAAAACGTTCGCAGAAATGTTATTTTACTCATACCGAATCTATCAATTTCACCAAGCGAAAAGTATTGTCTCAATCTGCCTGTGAACAAATGGTATGATGAAGCTCAATATCATTGCCAAGGTTTCACACAGCACGTAATATCAACATCTAAATTAGCTTGAGGAGTGAATTCATTGCATTCAGTAATTGCAGCTTTGGTTCATCTGAATGCCTGTGATCTGTTGTTCTCCACCCAAAAATATAAGCCGCATTGGCCTCGCAAATCTTAGTATTTTTTATCAGTTTTACGATCTTCAAGCATATGACAATATTTTCATTAATGTTTTAAATGAATGATCATCCTGCCCGAATCGGTCTCGATATCCGAATAACTATTGACTAGAGTTCGTTTGTCTGCCAGATTTAATCATTGCCTTTTTATTAAACCTTATAGTTCATGGTAATGTTATGTCATCTGCTTCGGTGCTTTTATTGTCTCATTTTTTACATTTTGTTCTACTGTATGTGTCACTGAATATATATACTGGTACGTAATGAGATTTTACACTGCGTTTGATGTGTTCATATTGCAACAGTTTTAATGAGCAAGGGCTGGAGTATTCCAGTATTGGGACGTTGTTTAGGAGACTGGATATCGGTGTTTATTATATACAGGTACGTAATGAGATTTCACACTGGGTTCGACGTGTCTATATTGCAGCAGTAGTTGGAAATCCGATATAAGGATGTTTAAAGAGACTGGATAGCAGTGTTCATTGTGTATAGGCTCAATCGTTTATGTTCGAGGGTTCAGATCATGTTGGGATAATTATGTGCGGCGGAATTAATGGATTTGCTGCTTTCGCGTGTGATACCAGGAAGTGCGCGCATTTAGATTCTGTAACGGGGATGTGCAACATTTTTTGTCCGTGGGCCATATAACCAACTTCAGACATCATCTGTGCCACAGTTTTTGCCAAATGTTTTTTCGTGTATACAACGAATTAAAGAATTAGTGACAACCAGGCCACCGCGGGAAAGGCAAGAGGAGAAAATCAGGCTATCGCTTACCCTACCAGTATAGGCACTGGGCACAACGGCGAAAAATTTAACCCAGTGACCGGAGCAAAAATCAATATATATGTATTTCCACCCACGTGAGCACCTATTTAAACATAAACTGTCGGAATAAATTTTTAAGCTAGATGGGATTAATCGAGTATTGACAAGGGCCACACTAAATGGCAGGCCGCCTGTTGCATAACCCTGTTCTAGAAGTATCAATGGTTGGCTATCCCCATTCCCGCCAGTGTGTTGTACTCTGGTGTGTAACTTGATACCGCTACTCTGAGTGAGTCCTGCAGATGTTCTTCAATGAGGCGTGTTTTGTGTTTGTTCTTGGTGAAGTTCATGTCAGAAAAGACTGATTCACAAAGAAAAATTTCTCTGTGTCAACTAGGACCCAAAATTTTGGCACACCTCAATCGGCTTTGAAGGGAAGGTCATTCATTTGGCAGTGTTACAACTGCAAGCTTCATCGGCTCAACGTCGCGACTGCTCGGAAATGCCCAATATATTCATGGAAGGATTAAAAATGAATGACTCGCATGGCTCAAAAAAAACGCGGGCTCGCGACACGACGTGACATTATTTGAGGTAGTTTCAGAACCGGCCTGTAGGCAAATCTATGGGTCCTTACGGGCGACCCGCGTTGGTGATCCCTGCTACAGAGAACCATAGTTGTAAACAGCATAATACACGTTTGTTACTTGTTTAATTGCTCATCCTTTACCACAATTGAAAAAGTGATCCAAATACAGATGTATCCTTGTGTGGAGATCAATGTTTGCACCACAACCGTATATTTAGTCACGATTGTTGTGCACCCGAGGTTCGATTACCAACGCTTTGTGCGGTATGGGCTTGCGGCATTCGAAAGAAATGTATTGCTCGTAATGTGAGCGGCTAGAGCGGGGTTCCATCTAAAAAGGCAGACCGCTATTACTAAATCGTAGCTATTAATATTGCATGAATAAAAAAAGAAATATTTAATAGCAGATGACCAAAAAGGTAGGAGAATACAACGCTTGCCTCCTCCCGTCGGATCATGTGATACAGCAAGTGTACATTTAGTACGTTCCACAGAATGCCTAAAGAAAGGCTTCAACAAATTTGAGCCTGTTGTTCCTGGCTGCAATGCGTAAGCCGTCAGACAATAGCGAGCTTTCAATCGAACCGGCCCAACGTCCCTCGAATGTAAAGCAGTGGCGATGAGACCGGTAAAGATCGGATTCGACGAATCAGAGTTAATAATAAGCCTAATCATGTTTTAGTTTCTGTATATAAACATAGACATAGAATATTTATGAAGAATTAACTCATAACTGCAATTTTGTCGCGGTCGAATATTAGGGTAGTGTTTTCGGGGGCACAGAAGGGTTGAAATGAAGACAATACGCCAGCACTGAAGAATAACAACAAGGAGCCTCTAAAGTCTAAACTAATCGATAAAAAGAACATTAAGGTACCATAGCAGAATCGAAAGATTCTGGATCAAGAAAATGAAGAAGAGCGTGAATTGAAATTCAACTGTCGGCACATAATGCAAATGCTGTTGCTACAAAGAAAATAAACGAAAAACTATTTCTTTTGTACTGTATATATACTATAAATAGTTGTAATGTAACATGATATCGGACCAAGCCAATGCCAACATTTTTAAACATTTATATTATTGTTTTTTCTGTGTGCATACTGTTGCGAGAATATTGGTCCCATCAATAGACCTTATTCATTAAAAACCCATCCTACGCGCAAAAATGAAAAGTGATGTAAAAAAATTTTTTTTAACATTAGCTCTTATGGGGAATGTGATCACCAGAGCAGAAATTTGCATTTTATGTAATTTTCTAGATATCTTTCATTGTATACGTGAGCAGTTTTGAGGATAGAATATTTTTTACATCTTTTTCGATATTTTTATTATGATAAACACAGTGAAAAACCGTCAAAATTTTCAATTCAAATGGTCAAGATGGTGGAATATGCGCTCCAACTACTTGTGATAACAGAATACTGGAATACCGGTACCGGGACCACAACTGGCGTTCAACGAAAGACCTATTTTGGTTTCAATTGGATGTTATATATTTCATGAATTCCATGTAACTATGTACATTTCTGGTACACCTTTCAAAATCCAATGGCCTAACTCAGTTCATATGTTGACACCATGTACCTATCCCAAAATTGGTGATGTTCAGGGCTGGATTTAGACCATGAGAGGCCCCTTCATTTTTTTTGAGCTCAGAATTTCTCTCTAAACTACACCACATTTAATTGCTTAAAATTTAAAAATATGAAAGCATTAAACTTTTCATTCTCCCCATTCATTGTTGTGAATTTTTAATTAAAAGAATAAAAATTTACTTGAGGCAGTTTTGCTTTCAATTTCTTTGATCAAACAACCGCTACAGCCATACTTTAACATAGAAACTTCCAGCAGAATGCGCATAGTAATAACTTCCCTTATTATGATGCAAACGACGCAATAATGGCTGTTTACAATGTGGTTGAAACCAGTTGTGTACGGAATTTTCTACTCTGAAAAGCTTGATATATATATATACTTTTTGTAGGGTTTAAACTTGTCAAGTTTTTAAAAGAATTACAAACTTCGAAACCGAATTTCGAGGTGCTGGTGATGGTCCCTACAGCAAATTTCTGGCTCTAATCACTCAGCAGATTGAAATAAATGGTTTTCAGCATTTATTAGCAAAGATAGATATTTTAATTAAACATATAGTTCAACTTAAAGCCTGTATAATGATATTATAAATATATGTCCCATTATTACTGCATTGTGAGAAGGGCTTTCCACACTATCAAGTCTATAAGGTTTAGCGTCTTCCAATGTCTCAGATGGAAACCTTCAGTCTTTCATTTCGCATATTCTTTTCATGAATGCCATTAGCATATGAAGCTTGACTGATTCCAATGTACCTTTTCCATTGTTGTTTAATGTAATATCCTAAATGTGACTTCAAATTTTTTTCTCACTTCAATCATCACATGTTTGAATACCCGAGCTGACTTCTACTGATTTGTTATTAATTTACAATTTTTTTTATAAATTAACTGTCGTACTTGCTAAGTGTTCACTAAGTGAAAATCTACAAAAAAAAAGCAGTGATTCAATAATGGACTACATTTTTAACCGAATCCAAAAATATACCGTAACTTAGTCAACCCTTCCTCCAACGAGTTTTTGTTAAATTGTTCAAACATCTAATTTAACTGTTAATCTTGATAGCAAACATGGGGGGCAGGGGGGAGCTGACTGTAATGGTCGCATCGCTCCCCAGTCTATATCGAATAACTGTGTGTTTTGTATATAATTTTTATTGATTCAATGCTTGTATACCACTGTGAAGCTAGTAGCAATTTGACCTTTGTGTGCGGCGAAGCGGAAAGGTGAATATTGGCAGCAGAAATGAAGGAGTGTCATAATCTACATCCGAAAAAATGTAGAAAAACGAATTTAGAATACGATCAATGGGAAGATACTAATCATTTACGATAAATTAACATCTACAAAGCAAAAAATAACAATAAATTACATGATAAACAATGAAAAAACAATAAAAATGACACGAATTTTATTTAACTTCCTTCGAAATAGCAGATGAGCAATTCCTAAATCAAGTCAAGTTGTACAGTAAACAAAACTAAGGAGATGGATGACGAGTTTAAAAAATGGGGAGTCAGCGTACCCCCATAGGAGAACATAAGCCTTCCAAATTTTAAAACCTAGGGTATTCTCATAGCTAAAAAACGTCCTTATTCGGAAAATTACCTATAGCTAAAAAAGCTGATTTAGTCAAATTTCAAAGCCTAGCAGCACATCCTTCCGCCCAAGAGGCATCCGATTTGATTATTTATTATTAAGAGGTTTATCTGAAGTTTTCACACAACTCGAACCTAAGTCTTGTTTTTATTAGAATCTAGGGTATTATCGAAGCGAAAATGGCCTATTTTGAAAAATTCGTATAGCGAAAAAAGCTGATTTAGCCAAATTTCAAAGCCTAGCAGCACGCCCTTCCGCCCAAGAGGCAACCGATTTGATTATTTATTATTAAAGATGTTTATCTGAAGTTTTTCACACATCTTGAACCTAAGCCTTGTTTTTATTAGAATCTAGGGTATTATCGAAGCGAAAATGGCCTTATTTGGAAAAATTACTTATAGCGAAAAAAGCTGATTTAGCCAAATTTCAAAGCCTAGCAGCACACCCTTCCGCCCAAGAGGCATCCGATTTGATTATTTATTATTAAAGAGGTTTATCTGAAGTTTTTCACACAACTCGAACCTAAGCCTTGTTTTTATTAGAATCTAGGGTATTATCGAAGCGAAAATGGCCATTTTGGAAAAATTACGTATAGCGAAAAAAGCTGATTTACCAAATTTCAAAGCCTAGCAGCACACCCTTCCGCCCAAGAGGCATCCGATTTGATTATTTATTATTAAAGAGGTTTATCTGAAGTTTTTCACACAACTCGAACCTAAGCCTTGT